GGGGTGTTGGCCGCCGGCTCGACGGCCGGCGGCAGCCGGAGGTGGTAGCAAGGGCCTTTGCAAGAAGAGAGAAAAATATATTCTAAAAGAAAAGAACCTAAGCTCTAGATACCATGTTGTGATTCAGGAATTGCGTGTATTGTTATACACATACCAATCTTATTTATAGAGTGAATACAATAAATGATAGAGATACTAATCTCTAATATTATGGAAACTAATCTAATCATATCCCTAATTGATAGTGAGGATAATAGCCATAATATATGTATCCACAATATCTGTAATATATTCACAATATCTGTAACAAGTTTTACATGGTATCAGTCTCGGTTCTGATTCAAAACTAGTTTTTTCTTCGCTGCGCTCCCAGTCTCTACGTTCCTAGTTCCAATCTCTTGCACGGTACTGTTCATGACGCGCACTGCTCACAACACAACATAATGTCTACTGACAAGTATGATGTCCTCTACGTTTGCCTTAATGGAAAGAACTACTCAACCTAGGCATTCCAGTTCCAGATCTTTGTCAAAGGCAAGGAGCTTTGGGGTCATGTTGACGGAACTGATTTTGCTCCTAACAAATCCACGCACACGGAGGCACATGCCAAATGAGAGGTCAGAGACGCACAAGTTATGACTATGTTATTTACCTTATATTACAAAATGCCTAGTAAGCAACTCATTACTATTGCCAATGGAGATAATGAAAAGTCCCATTGTGAAAACATCTGCCAATTGAAGTCTGATAAGTACATGAGTTGTAATTATAATACTGATATGCAACTTCTCTTTGATAAAATGCTTGTCTAACTCTATCTACTTCGTCCTATCATGTTGGACTAGATTATGAGCAATGCTAACAGTTGACGTATAATCACAAAATAGTCTCATATTTAACTTTGAGGTCATTGAGAATAATATTTATCCAAAACCCCTCACAAATACCATGGACCATAGCTCAAAACTCAGCTTCTGCACTAGACCAAACAATTCTATCTTATTTCTTACTTCTTTATGTCAACATATTCTTGGCAAGAAACATACAATAACCAAAATTGTTGCAATTGATCCTACATAGTCAACATCAAAGAACATACTTCCAAAGAAGATCAATCACAAGATTTCTTATTTCTAGCTTGTGTAAAACAAACCTAAAACGAAACTTATTATGAGACAAGGAAAATACTAATTATAGTTAAGTCAAGTCAGTAAAGGGATAAAGGAGTGATGATTGACCTAAATTCATATTATAATGTTATTAAAATTGAAAAAGGTCAAAATTTTGATAAGAGATATAGAAAGAGATATTTTGGAAAGTGTTGAAAATGAGAAAATCATTCAATGTTTTTATAATATGAAATCTTAGAGAACAATTTGAAGTATATTTATATTTCAAAAACAATGTTAAATTATACGTTTAATACTACAAATTTATGTATGAATATTGCCCCCACTGTTTAAAATTTATGGATTCGTCACTGGTTCAAACAATAAAGACATTGTCTCCATTGGCAACTGTAATGAGTTGCCTGCCAGATATTTTTGAGTATGATGTAAAGTGGGTGGAAAAAGAAGTCATATGATCTGTTGGCCAAGAGTCAAGGATTGAGGTGCCTTGAGAAACAAAACTAGAGATGTTAAAGGATCTCTCACCCTTCATAGTCAAGGTACACAAACTAGAGGTCTTACTCATAGAGCTAATATGGATTTCAAGCTCACCGAGCTCTTTTTGGACCTCGAATGTTCTTTACTAGGACCTCTGTTTTGTCTGCTTGGTCAGAAGTAGTTTGATTTGCCCACATTGATAGAGTCCTTGTCTGCACCCATATGCTCGAGAACTTTCTCTCTTCCATGAAGCTTATAGTTAGTATCTTTGGTGTGACCAAACCGCTTGCAGTATACACAGTATTCCACATGATTGCCCTTTGGTGGAGGCTTCTCCGTACCGAGAATTTGAACGTGTATGGGATTGTATTTAGGATCAAGCCATAGAGAAACTTAAAGTTTTTCCCCTCTCAATAACCTTTGAGTGTGCAATAAAGTCAGCCTTGCACATCTTCAAGCTTTGGTATTGATCCAATTCAATCCATAAGCCATTTAGGGTTCCATATTATTCAGTCATAAAAAGGGTTATTACCTTGCAGTAAAAATCTTGCTCTTTGTATCATAGTAAGTAGCAAAATCCTTTTTCGTAGAGTATGTTTCTCTAAGGACGTCCCACATCTTACGTATTGAAGAGTAGAATATACAATTCCCACTTACCTCAGAAGTCAAAGTAATCCATAGCATGGTTGTCAAACTCGCGAGTCAACTCGTAAACTCGTACGAGTCTACGAGTCTAGGGTAGCAAAACGGGTTAACTCGCTCATAGACTCGTTTTTTGGTAGACTCGGGTAGACTCGGTCAGAATCGCGAGTCTGAGACCGAGTCCACGAGTCTGGTTAGTTTTTTTTTTTCACCCTTAAATGGCCCAAAACGACGTCGTTTTGCCTAGGGTTAGTAAGTGAGAAAGCATTTTTCCCTTCGCGCGACATGCCTCCACCATTCTCACGTTTCTGATCTGGTTTTTCTCCCTCCGCAATGTTCGAACTCTGATCTCCGCCTACGAACGCTCATCTCCGCCGCTACGAACGCGCATCTCTGCCGCTACGAACGCCGCTGCAATCAAACGCCCCCTGCATACGAACGCCGCCGCTATCAAACGCCCCCTGCATACGAATGCCGCTGCTATCAAACGCCCCTGCATACGAAATCGCGTCCTCTTGCTGGGAAGGACGCAAGTCTGTTTTCTCTCCCTCCGCCGCATCTCTGTCGCATACGACCGCGTCTGTCTTCGTGAGTCACTCTAACATTTTTTGATTTTTTGGTCTCTTAGTGTTAATGAAGAGGATGAGCTTGAAGAAAATGAAGATGATGATGATGCACATGCATTTGTTGGAGGATTGGACTTTGATTGATTAATTTAGATCTTGTTTTATGTTTTTGATTTGTGGACTTATGTGTTTTCGACTTTTGGTTGTTTATGTATGGTTAAGATTTGTATTATGACATTTTATTGTTGTTATTTGACTTATTTCAGACTTAGAATGTTGAAATAGTGATATCATATTGTGTGTGTTCATGTTTTTTAATATATTTTAATATTAGGTAGACTCTTACGAGTCTACGAGTCGAGTCTACGAGTCGAGTCTACGAGAGCTCCACGAGTTTGTGTAGACTCTCGAGTTTGACAACCTTGATCCATAGCCAAGTCATAATCAAAGAATCCTCATTATCCCAAGCCTCAAATATTGGGTCATCATGATTTAGGCTCACTCCATCAATATGACTCAGCTTCAACCATCCTTTGAGGGTGGTGTAGATGCATTGTGACCAATCTAAATAGTTACACCCGTCAAGACATAATGGAACCACCACATCTGAAAGGTCATTGGGCCCTAAGGTGATACCTTTTCCTTCAACCATCACTAAAAAAACACAGTTTATCAAGCGAAACAGACCCTTGAAACCGTATTTGTCCAATCACCAACAAGTGTATCACATCGGAGAGGGTCGCGGCTTACACACATTTTAAGGAAGGTGGCCCGTGGGGCGGAGATCAACTGCGAAAAGTTCAAAATTTTGCTAGCAATGGAGGGGGGCTCCTTTTGGTCTGACCACCAGTCCTTAAGGTGATGGAGGTAGTGGCTTATGACTATAGGCATGGGTACGCCAAAGCAGAATAGCATAAACACATAGCTCCCCAAAGTGGAAGCTTTGATACCAAATTGAAAAAGAAATTCTATTAATAAGTTTTACAAAATATTTTCTCTAATCATGAATTTTATAGAGAAAACTACCATCTCTAAAATGTGAAAACTATGACTTAAAGATAAAAGAGAAAACATAAAAAATAAAGGATAACGATAAATCACTAAGATATTTTGTTGATAAACCCCTACAATATTATGTTATTATCAACAATATATCATAATATATTTCTCTAATTATAATAAGAATTTTGGTGAAGTGTATTACTTGTGTGGTTCTTTTTAGGGGTTGTGTTGCTACTATATTTCTATTGTGTTTTTGCCTCTTTCTTTTCAAACTATGGCACGACTTGTGCTCTCTATTAAGACAAGATCCCCAAAATGAGATTTGATTAGTTACCATGCTATTGAAGTATAAGCCAACTGTTGTGAAGTAGAACGACAACATTCTATAGAAGTCAAATCGTTGGCCAAGTCGATAAACATCACGACTAAGTGTTTGCTCTCCATTTCCACATGCAACCTTAGCCTCTAAAAGTGATATTTGATTCATACTTGTATCACTCCCTTTACCTACTTGTATGTATTCATGATGTGTGATAAATCCTTGACGTAGTGTTGAATTGAACCCTATGTATGTTAAGCACAATTAGTAAAACATTCCCACCCACAAAAAATTACAATATAGATTCAAATTGAACTCTATGGATGTTAAGAAAAATGAATAGAAAATTTGGATCTGTCAGATATCATTTTCTACTCAACCATATAATACCTGCAAATATATCCTCACTTAGGTTTATAACTTTTGATGCTTTGCTTATGCCACCTCTTGTTATGTGGAAGATTCTGTCAAATATATCAGGATGACCATAATGAAATCGGACCCTACAAATTCAAGAATATGGATTACTTAACAAAAGTGAAAAAGTTAGAGCATAGGTAAAAAAGCAAGACTTATCCTATTCTTGTTTTAAATCCAATTGCAGCAGAAATTAGGGATGAGTTTGTGTTTTACTCATGCATCAAACCCAATATTTATAAGGACTAAACCAAAATGAAATGGGACCCTATGAATTCAAGAATATGGATTACATAACTGAAGCTCAAGCGAAGAAAAAAGTTTAGTGCATAGATTATAAAGCAAGATATATCCTATTCTTGTATTTGATTCAATTGCAACACAAATTAGTGATGAGTTTGTACTCTACTCATGCTTCAAACCCAAGATTTATAAGGACTACATTGGCTTTATAAGGAGGCCATGATTAAGGTGTGACAAGGGTGATTGCAATTAAGGCTGATTTCCAATAGAAAATAAGGTAAAATTTTAAAAAACTGTGAAATAGGATAAAAATCTCAATGGATTTATAATGCAGTATCACAGGACAAGCAAATTGGAACTAACCTTAAAGGATTTGCCAAAACTCGTTGACCAATGGTCACGGAGCTGGTCTCCTGGTTTTCCCTAAACCAGGCAAGTGAAGAAACACCGCAAAACAAGAAACACATAAGAAAACTTGTGCCAATTCAAGTTTCATGTGTATTTATTTTTTTGGTTAAGAAATAACTTATTCAAACAAGATTTAATATTAGATATTGTCACAAGGTAAACCTTCCAGTAAATAAATGCTCTCTTATGCCCAAAATGGTGGGTTTTCGTTGCCCACTATGTGCTTTTCGAAATTCTTCCAATACATTTCTCATTTTGAAAGATTCTTCATAATAGTTTTCCTTAAAAAAAATAAAATGAAATTAGTGCAACATTGATTTATACAAAAGATAATTCTTAACTTGTATTAAAATGAAGTCCAAGGAAAAGTTACCTGATTTATATCTCTAGTCTGCAAGGCTTCTCCACGAGTAAATATAATTGCATGATTTTGGTTTTCAGCTTTCCCTTCACCAATTATTGTTGGAGGCCCAGGTAGCTTGATGCGATATACTTCCTAGTAATACAATTTATAATCATTTTAATTATAATTTAAGGCTATTCAATACCCCAAACCAACTCAACATGAATTGAGCGACAACCACAACATCCTTTAGTTTGTCACGTGAATAATCTTTTACACTAGAATTATAGTAGAGTAGTAGCATTCATATCCTTGAGTGATGAACTTGGAGTAGACCGAAGATTGGAGAACCCGACGAAGAAACATTGGCTGAAGGGAGAAAGTGGTGGTGGTCACCTCCAAAAGCTCTTGTTGAATTAAGCGCTTACCACTAGGTTAAAAGCTATAAGTCATAGCCTAATAGTTAGGACACAACCTTTTGTACTTAACCATAACGTGTCAATTGTGACTTGACCCACGTAGGTCTTTGTCACAAGACAATTGATGTCACAACCCAACGAATAAGCTCTCCCTCAACAATTACCCTTGTTGGGCATCAAACATGTGACCTTGGCACTAATATCAATTATTGTATCGAGCTCTTACCACTAGGCCAAAATCTATAGATGATAATCAAGAAACAACCCTTTCTATTTATCCGTAATGTTGCAATTTTCTCCTTAATTTTTGTATCAAACATTTTCTAATTAATGCTTTGATTTAATTTTGTAATAAATCTTGTCAAAATCATATTTAACTATAATTTGAATTATGATCACATCATAGATGTCAAAATATATTTTAGGAAGTTTTAGATATTATTCCTATGGTATTTTAATTCTTTATATTTTCTGTATTTTGCTATTAATACTAGGCTTGTATATTTAGAAACAATCCCACAATTACAGGGATTTGTCCCCTAGAATAGGTTGTTCCTGTTTCCTAAAATAGCCAACAGGCTCATGTATAAATCTGATGTATCTCATGATTAAAATAATATATGAAATAAATGATTTCTTCTAAATCTGAGATGGTATCAGAGCTCCTTATCCTTGGGAGACTCTGACCGTGTGATCTGATCATAGCCTTCATTGCTATGCAACCCTAGAATTTCATTGCAGCCTTCATTGCTGTGTGATCCCGAACGCTCATCACAGCCTTCATTGTTGTGCACTTCCCTACTGTTCCAGACCCTAAATCGGTCTGCTTCTCTATACCTTAATTGCACTTATTTGTAATGGCTGAAATTATAAATTCAGTCATAGAAAATGGAGACAACAAGTTCCAGAATGCGAGTGAACTTCAGAATGTCCACTCTGCCTATCGATTGAATGGAAAAAATTATCTCGAATGGTCTCAACTCATTAAGACCATCTTGAAAGGGAAAGGAAAGGTTAGTCATCTAATTGATGATGCCCATGTTGAAGGAGATGCCAGATTCAAGTCATGGGATGAAGAAGACTCCATGATCATGGCATGGTTATGGAACTCAATGGTTCTGAAAATCAGCGATACATGCATGTTCCTCAATTCTGCAAAGGCAATATGGTTTACAGTAGAGGAAACTTACTCTAAGGCAAAGGATGCTGCCCAAATTTATGAGGTAAAGGTAAAAACTATGGCAGCCAAACAAGGCACTAAAACTGTCATGGAATATGCTAATCAACTCAAATCATTATGGATGGAACTGGACCATTACAGGGTCATAAAGGCCAAGTTTTCTGAGGATTTAACAATTCTAAGGGAATACATTGAACAAGACCAGGTGTATGACTTCTTGGTAGGCCTAAACCAAGAATATGATCAAGTCAGAATCCAAATATTGGGAAAAGAGAAGGTTCCTGGGCTTAATGAAGTAGTGGCAATTATTTGGAGTGAAGAGAGTAGAAGGAGCCTAATGCTAAAGACCCCAACTACTGATAGTTCTGCTATGATTGTTGAAGGAGCAACAGTCATGGTTGCGAAACAAAAGTAAGCAGGCCTTCTTCCAAATGGGGATTAGTGGATGTAGACCAGCTGACACACTCATTGATCCTAATAAGAAACTTGGAGATGGCAAGGAAGGTGATCCTATGGATATTGGCCGCTATCAAAGACTTGTGGGGAAGTTAATTTACTTATCTCATACAAGATCTGATGTTGCTTTAGTGATAAGTCTTGTAAGTCAATTCATACATTTTCCCTAAGAAGAACATCTTGAGGCAATCTATAGAATCTTAATATACTTAAAGTTTGCTCCACGAAAAGGTCTTTTTTGCAACAAATTTTTTTTTATCAACAATCCATTTTAGCCTAGACTAGTGCAAACTGGGCAAGTTCAATCACTTATAGAAGGTCTACTTCAGGGCATTGTACATTTGTGTGGGGGCAATCTTGTGACATGGCAAAGTAAAAAATAAAATGTAGTTGCTAGAAGTAGTGTTGAAGGTGAATATAGATCAGTGGCACAAAAAATTTGTGAGATGATATGGTTGAAAAGGGTTCTAGAGGAATTGAGAGTGAGTACCGACTGACCCATGAAATTGTATTGTTACAGCAAGGCTGCAATAAGCATTGCACAAAAACTAGTGCAACATGACAGTACTAAACATGTGGAGATTGATACACATTTCATCAAGGAAAAACTAGATAATGGAATCATTTGAGTAACTCAATGTAAAGACTACTTTTCTTCTTAGAAAAGTGGTTTGGGTCTGTTAGATATAATTTTATCTTATGGGCCTAGGCCCACTACTTTGTATATAAACACATCTTTTGGTTTGCAATACACAAGGAATATGTTCTCTCCATTTACCATTTCTCTCAACATGGTATCAGAGCCTAATCCTTGACCTCCCGGTGGACCCACTGTTCATCGGTGCCCGGAAAACATGTCTCATTTCGTTTTCCGGCTACCCATCTCGCTGTGCTTCTTTCCGGCCATTTTTTCCCACTTTTCCAGCATTTTTCTTTGCTGCCGCTACAGTCGACTTTCTGGCTGACGACCCACCCACCTAGGTCCCCTTGCTCCGACAACTCCAACGGCACCAGTCACGCGACGAACGGAGATCGCACACGCCCACACGCGCTGATCTCGTTCTCGCGCGTTTCTCTCTCCTCCCCGTTTGCCGTCGCGCGTGGCAGCACGTCTAGCGACTTTTCCGACACCGGCTCGCCCCAACGTCCTCTACACTGATCTACTCTTTGTTTTGTGATCGGACCTCGTTTGTCACGGATCTCTTCCATCTCGGGCCATTTTTTCTCTCCTGTTCTAGCATCTATGGCTACCCCTACCGCTGTTCGGCCTGACTCCTCTATTTTCACTAACTATGTCAATGTCCCCCTTTCCATTGACAAGTTAGATGGAACCAATTATGATACTTGGGCTTCGGATATCAAGCTTTGGCTTAAGGGACATGATTATGTTGCTCACCTTACCCAGACAGTTGCTTCCGTTGATGAGAAGGATCGTCCTCGTTGGTTGAAAATTGACACTCAAATTTGTAGTGTCCTTAAGTCGACCATTCATCCTTCCCTAAAGCAAATTTTTCGTGCTCATGAGACATGTGTTGATGTATGGGAACAAACATGATTGTTGTACACCAATGATACTCAACGTCTCTATGGTGTGTGTCAAAATCTCCAGAATATCATTTCTCCCCGACGTCTTGAGGGCTCCATGGCTGAATATTTGGGCCAAGTTCATGGCCTTCTACATGACTTCAACGAACTTTTGCCTCCCGCTGCCACTCTTGCCAAGGAACTAGAGCAACGCCAAACTTCCTTTATGTTGATGGCATTGTATGGGCTTCCTGATGAGTACTCTTCCATTCGTGATCAAATTTTGGGATCTCCGACCATGCCTACCTTGAACTCGGCTTGGTCCACTCTGTTGCGTGTGGCTTGCAAGTTTTCCCCTGACATACCTTCTTCAACTCCCACTAGTGACTCCTCTGCTTTGGTTTCTCAACGTGATGATCGTCAGTGTTCTCGCAAACCGGGCAAAGGCCTCCCAAGTGTGATCACCGTCACAAACTGGGCCACACAATTGACCGTTGTTACGTCTTACATGGTCATCCCCCTCGCCCTGCTACTACTGTTGCCCACACTGCCACCCCTGTCTCTACTATATCTGGTGCTACCCCCTCTGATAGTTCTGGCTCTGGACCTCCAACTCTCTTCAACGACTTCCTTAAATGGTATGAGGAATGTCAAGCTTCCAATTCCACTGCTTCTGTTGCGCACACAGGCCCTTCGTTTTTTGGTCTCACTCACTCAACTTCTCTTGGCCCTTGGGTCCTACCTTCTGGTGCTACCGATCATATTTCTGGTAATCGGTCTCTTTTCTCCTCTCTTTCTACTTCTGCTTATTTACCCTCTATCACTATGGCTAATGGCTCTTGTGCCACCTCTCATGGTGTTGGTACTGTCCATCTTTCTCCTTCTATCTCCATTGACAATGTTCTTTATGTCTCAGAGTCTCCCTTTAATTTATTATCCCTTAGTCGTCTTACTCGCTCTCTTGATTGTCTTATCTCTTTTACTAAAGATTCTATTTTCTTACAGGACCGGAGTTCTGAACGGATGATTGGCACCGGATGTGAGTCTCATGGCCTTTATCACCTAGTGTCCTTTTCTCCGAGTGTCCCCAACCGAGCGTTGTCTCTTTTTGTTTTAGTTCACTCTGATATTTGGGGGCCGAGTCGGGTTAAGTCCACTTTAGAATTTCAGTATTTTGTAACTTTTATTGATGATTACTCTCGATGTACTTGGCTATTTTTAATGAAATCTCGTTCTAAATTATTTTTCATATTTCAGTCTTTTTATAATGAAATTCAGACTCAATTTGGTGTTTTTATTCACACTTTTCGTAGTGATAATGCTCGTGAATACCTCTCTCACTCTTTTAAAGCCTTCATGGCTTCCCATGACATTCTTCATCAGACTTCTTGTACATACACCCCTCGACAAAATGGGGTGGCTGAGTGCAAAAATAGACACCTAATTGAGACCACTTGCACCCTCTTACTTCATGGTCACATTCCTCATCCTTTTTGGGGTGATGCTGTCCTCACCGCCTGCTATCTCATCAGTCGCATGCCATCTTCTGTCCTTAACAATCAAATACCTCACTC